ACTTTGAACTGTTATAACCAGCATCATAAGAGGTTTAGTGAACATCATCAACTTTGAACTGTTATAACCAGCATCATAAGAGGTTTAGTGAACATCATCAACTTTGGACAGTATCAGTATTTATGATGAAGGTCCACTTGTTGAATGCACACTAAGATATAACTCTCGCTATGAGTGTCCTTTACTGTGCATGACACAAAGTTTTAATGTCTAAGATTTTATTAAACTATTTTTGTTTATTTTATACCAATTAGTGTAGAATACGATTGTAGCTAATAATCCATATTTTAATAGTATATAAGTTTACACGGCAATATTTTGAAAAGTCTTGAATTTCCCCTAATGTTACACGTGGCACATTTGCTCTAGGCATGTTCTCTTCTCTATTTTATACACCATCCCTCCAATAAATATGAAATTAAATGTAAATTACTCGTTATAAAAATAATTATTGCTCAGACAAACCATAATTTTTACAGCCTTCAATTTTGTTTGGTTACAGAGCTATCAAATAGAAAATTAGACCCCTCTTGTCACATCCTCTCTTTCAGGATTTGTTAATAGTTCTCTCTTATGTTTAATTATATTATCTAGAAAGCCAAGGTTTTCATCTATCAAATGATGTATTATATTATGTTGTGGTCTGAACAGATAATTGTAAATTTCTTTGTCAGTACAAGCTTCGTTCCCACAGGAAAGACAACGACTAGCTTGGATGAATTTGTAACGGCTCTTGTTACATAGTTAGAAAGCCAGAAAAGTTGTGATTGTTAGAGGAAATTGTCTACTTTTTACATGTTATTATTCTATGTTATTTGGTGTATTTTACATGTTATTATTCTATGTTATTTGGTGTATTTTTACATGTTATTATTCTATGTTATTTGGTGTATTTTTACATGTTATTATTCTATGTTATTTGGTGTATTTTTACATGTTATTATTCTATGTTATTTGGTGTATTTTTACATGTTATTATTCTATGTTATTTGGTGTATCATTTAATGCACTACTACCTTTAGTATAAAAAAGTAGGGTTAAGTGTCATTGACAGTCAACAGCAAAAAAAAGAATACTCGGGTAAGTACTTTATTTCTTGTTTTTCATGTTTATTTTTATTAAAAGTTAATAGTATCAAATCTATAAAGACTTTAATTGAGTACAAAGAGGTCATGTTGTCGGTTGAATCGACCAAGCCCGTGTTCAGAGAGTTAAGTCTTATTTCCCAGTGTTTGTGATAGTCACTATAATTTGAAATAGTATATATATATATATATATATGTGTATATTAGTATTTAAGAAGCATGTAACTAGATGACCTGATTTTTCTGTTGAACTAAAGCTGGAGAGGTGTAGGACTATTAAAGGAATGGTTTCATTACTTTATTCCTAGGTACCGAGGACCAGAGCTTGAAATGTGGGCTCTGGGGGTGACACTTTACACATTGATATTTGGAGAAAACCCTTTCTTTGATGTAGAAGAAACCATTGCTGGCATTCTTAAGCCACCCTTTCAAGTGTCTAATGGTGAGTGAATTATTACCATTGTATGTGAGCATAGAAATATGAGTTCAATGTTTGTTTCCCTAATAGACTGGATGGATGTAATCGTATGCTTCCTATATCACGACCCCTGACTTGTGAACTAAATATTTGTTTTCCTTAGCAGAGTTATTGGGTGTAATTACACTTTTCTTGCATTCGGGGGTTGACCATGGCCAAGTGGTTAGTGTGCCAGACATTGTGTCTGAGAGTTCATCATTTGTGGATGGGGAGGGGGATAAAACAACTCTGCTGCACACTTTGGTTCTGTGGGTGAGTTATAAGAGTAACAATCAAATACCACTATTTGTCTGCAAAAGAGTAGTCCAAGAGTTGGTGTCGACTTTCTTATTTCTTTTTAGTTTATCAGTTCAAAATTAGGGATTGCTTGCACAGATAGCCCTTAAGTAGCTTTAGGTGAATAGCGAAAATAACCATATCCAGTAGTACGATCCAACTTAACTCTGACTGATCTCTAAAAACTAACCTATAATATACACAGTTGTTTTTCTTCTACAGACCTGATGGACTTAATTTCCTGGTTGCTTCATCCTGATCCAAACCAGCGTGCTACGTTACTTGAGGTTGAAAAACACAGGTGGACCAATCAGCCTGTCTCTCCAGAGTCATACAAGTTTGGAGAAGTTGTACAATCTGGTTAGTAAAGAAGAGCAATATTGTACAGTGATATCATAAAACTAAGGGATATTGGTAGATGATAACACCAAAGAGCAATATTGTAAAGTGATATCATAAAACTAAGTGATATTGGTAGATAATGATAACACCAAAGAGCAGTACTGTAAAGTGATATCATAAAACTAAGTGATACTGGTAGATTATAACACCAAAGAGCAATATTGTAAAGTGATATCATAAAACTAAGTGATACTGGTAAATTATAACACCAAAGAGCAGTACTGTAAGGATGTATTATAAAACTAAGTGATATTGGTAGACAATGATAACACCAAAGATCAGTACTGTAAAGTGATATCATAAAACTAAGTGATATTGGTAGATAATGATAACACCAAAGAGCAGTACTGTAAGGACACTTAGTTTTATAATACGGTACTGGTAGACAATGATAACACCAAAGAGCAGTACTGTAAGGACGTATTATAAAACTAAGTGATACTGGTAGACACTGATAACACCAAAGAGCAGTACTGTAAGGACGTATTATAAAACTAAGTGATACTGGTAGACAATGATAACACCAAAGAGCAGTACTGTAAAGATGTATTATAAAACTAAGTGATACTGGTAGATAATGATAACACCAAAGAGCAGTACTGTAAAGACGTATTATAAAACTAAGTGATACTGGTAGACAATGATAACACCAAAAGCAATGTTATTTTCTCTAGTCAGTAAAAGTTAATGCTATGCTTAAATATGAAACATTTGTGTAACATTGTCCTTTAATGGTCTTATTATTATTTGTGTAACAACTTAAATGAGATGCCATAGCCTTACTTTCCTGGGTACTGGTTACCAAAGTTTGGAAAGTTTAACACATCATTATAATGCAACATGTCTCACTGCATAGACCAGCTACCACAAATTACTTGTCAAATTCAACCTTACTTTATCTGTTATACGTTATCCATTCTAACAAGTGAACTGCCTCTACAGTCTGTATGTTAATTGGTGGAAAAGTTCTATAATTAAATAGTGGTGTAGAACTACTATAGTTAAACAGTGGTGTAAAACTTCTGTAGTTAAATAGTGGTGTCAAACATGTGCAGTTGAACAGTGGTGTAAAACTTCTATAATTAAATAGTGGTGTAAAACTACTATAGTTAAACAGTGGTATAAAACTTCTGTAGTTAAATAGTGGTGTCAAACACGTGCAGTTGAACAGTGGTGTAAAACTTCTATAATTAAATAGTGGTGTAAAACTACTATAGTTAAACAGTGGTATAAAACTTCTGTAGTTAAATAGTGGTGTAAAACTTCTATAGTTAGATAGTGGTGTCAAACATGTACAGTTGAACAGTGGTGTAAAACTTCTATAATTAAATAGTGGTGTAAAACTACTATAGTTAAACAGTGGTATAAAACTTCTGTAGTTAAATAGTGGTGTCAAACGTGCAATTGAACAGTGGTGTAAAACTACTATAGTTAAACAGTGGTATAAAACTTCTGTAGTTAAATAGTGGTGTAAAACTTCTGTAGTTAAATAGTGGTGTCAAACATGTGCAGTTGAACAGTGGTGTAAAACTTCTATAATTAAATAGTGGTGTGAAACTTCTATAATTAAATAGTGGTGTAAAACTACTATAGTTAAACAGTGGTATAAAACTTCTGTAGTTAAATATTGGTATAAAACTTCTGTAGTTAAATAGTGGTGTGAAACTACTATAGTTGAACAGTGGTGTCAAACATCTGCAGTTGAACAGTGGTGTAAAACTTCTGCAGTTGAACAATGTGTGTAAAGTTTCCATAATTAAATAGTGAAGAGAGATTATTGTATTTTTATGCCAACAAGTAATCTTTGGAAACACGATAGATCACAATAATGGTCCTATAAACCAAAAGTATCTATTTTCTGAAACATGGTTAAAAGTGTGATTCAATGTTTTTCACTATACTTTTGTTATTGAGGTGGTAAATAACAAATATGATTTTGACTTGTTTCTTGTGTACAGCTCCAGAAGAACATTGCCCTCCAGTGTATTACGAGTGTGAAACTTCTCGCTCCGTGTCAGTATTAAACTCCGATAGCATGTACACGTCTTCCACGAACCCAGTACAATCTTCGTGTTACAGCAGTTCGTCACCTTTGGAAGAACAAGACAGTGTTTCTTAAAGACACAGTGTACAATAAATGTGTAGTGGATTTATAACTGTACATGTATTTTAAGTAGGACAGAAGTTAAGTAGAACATGGATTTATAGCTGTACATGTATATTAAGTAGGACAGAAGTTAAGTATAACATGGGAAGTTGTGTAAAAATATGTTGGTTTTAACTGTGTTATATTTTAATCACTTGTATAAAATAATTTTTATCCATCTACAATTGTGTAAGAAACAAGTACAAGTATTTAATCTGTTTACCAGTGTAGTTAGTTTGTAGTAACATTATTCTAATAGTTTATAATTATTATAACCAGATTCCACAAAGCTGTCTTCTAAACATTTAACAATACGTACATAGCTGTATTTCAATACCCAAACAATATTAACCTCATTCACGCATGGTGCCTACTAATAGCTGAGCAATATTAACCTCATTCACACATGGCTCTTTACTAATAACTGAGCAATATTAACCTCATTCACATATGGCTCTTTACTAATAGCTGAGCAATATTAACCTCATTCACATATGGCTCTTTACTAATAGCTGAGCAATATTAACCTCATTCACACATGACTATTTACTAATAGCTGAGCAATATTAACCTCATTCACACATGGCTATTTACTAATAACTGAGCAATATTAACCTCATTCACACATGGCTATTTACTAATAACTGAGCAATATTAACCTCATTCACACATGGCTATTTACTAATAACTGAGCAATGTTAACCTCCTTCACATGTGGCTATTTACTAATAGCTGAGCAATGTTAACCTCATTTATGTGGCTATTTACTAATAGCTGGGCGATGTTAACCTCATTTGCATATAGCTATTTACTAATAACTGGGCGATGTTAACCTCATTTGCATATGGCTATTTACTGATAACTGAGCCAATGTTAACCTCATTCACATATGGCTATTTACTGATAACTGAGCAATGTTAACCTCATTTGCATATGGCTATTTACTAATAGCTGAGCAATATTAACCTCATTCACGCATGGTACCTACTAATAACTGAGCAATATTAACCTCATTCACATATGGCTATTTACTAATAACTGAGCAATATTAACCTCATTCACATGTGGCTATTTTCTAATAATTTAACAATACCACATTCTCCAATGGTTGCCTTCTAACAGCTGAATAATACTGAATTCATTCTTTATTGTGATTTAAAGGTGTTTACGCAGCCAAATTCATTAAGTTGTTTTCTTGTCATCAAGTGACACAGATAATTAATCTATACTTAATCAGATTCAGAATGATTGTTTATATAGTCTGCTGTGTCAGTTCAGTGCCACAAGTCCAGTCTGTGTATACATGTTTTAACCTCAAAGCTGGTTTGTGTGTTTTATGTATCCTCTGGTTATATTAATATAACAAGAACTGTATTTTACATATTATACCAGCTGTGTAATGTATAAAATAAATGTTTACTTAGCTGTGTTTGTAATAAACCTTTACTTAATGGACAGACTTGTTCCATCAATCTTTTCTTAACAGTTACTGTTGTTTAAAGAAAGAATGGCATATAGCATTGAAAGTTGTTGGAATTGATAAATTTACCTGATGGATTTCTCATTAAATAATGTCTCTCATGAACCTTCCATGTGTAAGTGTTGAGATCAAGTATACGTAACTCTTGGTGTAGCTAGATCTGTTTGTTAAAATGGTTGTTTTTGTCTGTTGATCTTTAACCCCAGGTGTGTAAGTGTTGATATC